GGCCTTTTGTGTACATAGAAAAAGTCTTAGATCTTTGAGTTCAGCTCATGAAAAATGGGGGCAAAAACAAAAGTGTTGCGTTTATAATTTTGTTCAGTGTAACAACTCCTCCTGGATATATATCTAACCTTTATATTTATATAAATATTAGTGCTGTCAAACGATTAATCGTGATTAATCACATCCAAAATAAAAGTTTTTGTTTACATAATATATGTATGTGTGCTTTGTAAATTTAATTATGTATATATAAATACATACACATGCATGTATACCTTTCAGAAAAATATGTTATGCTTATATATTAAATGTATTTATTTATAATATAAATTATATGAATATAAATATAGACATGTAAATACATGTAACTATTTTCAAAATATATACTGTATGTGTGTGTGTTTATATGTACATAATAAATATACACAGAACACACACATTTATTATGCAAACAAACACTTTTATTTTGTATGCGATTAATCACCATTAATCGTTTGACTGCACTAATAAATATACAGTATATACCGTATTGGCCCGAATATAAGACGACCCTGATTATAAGACGACCCCCCCTTTTTCCAGATGTACCTTTTGGAAAAAGGCTTTTTTTTAAATCAAATCTTGTTTTTTCTCAGTAAAACACATTTTGTCTTCAATTATTTTCATATTGCATATTTTTCCTATTTTAATTTTTGTTTTGAAAGTATGGTAAAAACTAGGGATGTAACGGTATGAAAATTTCATATCACGATTATAGTGACCAAAGTTATGTTTTAAAATCACAAAGGGAGTTTGGTGCCATCAGGCTAACGTGACAGTCACGACTCATGCAGCTGTAAGGTTTTCTTTTTCTTTTGTTTTTACTCGCGATCTTTACAACACGCATTACATTACGTATTTCATGGCACACTCGTTTTATGTGTATTTGGCGCCACCTAGTGTTGTTGGTGTATTATTGACATGTCAAAGTCTAGACCCTGAATATAAGACAACCGCGTTTTTCAGATGTATTTCCAAGAAAAAAATATCGTCTTATATTCGGGACAATACGGTAATATATAGATATAATGTTGTAAGTAAAAAAAATAAAATACAACGAATGAATTAAATTATTCCAGTCTTCAGTGTAACATTTGATGCTCAGTTATTATTAAATATTATTGGTGCTCAGTTAATAATAATCGTTCTTATTATCATCAGTGATGAAAACGTTTTTGTGTAATATTACTATTTTTGTGGGAACCATAATACATTTTTGTCAAGATTCTTTGATGAATAGAAGTTCAAAAGAACATCATTTATTACATTATAAATCTTAAATTATGTGTTTGTGTTTAGTGTCACTTTATCAAGTTACGATGACCTTGCTGAATAAAAGTATTAATTTCAAAAATATTAATCATCAAAAACTGTTTTGAGCACCAAATTAGCACACACACGCACGCACGCACGCACACACACACACACACACACACACACACATTTTAATATCTAAATAATACATATAAATATACATATTATATATAAATAATACACAACGCTTTTTATTAAGTTAAATTTTTTTATTATTTTCAACAAATAAAAAATAATAATAATAATAATTTCTGAATATTCTCATGTTGAAGTAATTTGTATTACAACTTTTCCCCTCTTCAGCCTCTGTAAAAGAAAACGTATGTGCATAAACTCCCATTGGCATTCCTTTCCCCATCAGCCCCCTACTTTCTTTTCTCCACCCATCTGCTCTGCAAATAAGGCTAAGCTCTGACTCACCACATACAAATGAAAATGTAATGCGATTACAAGACGTGCAATTAATTTGATTTGCCCATTCACTTCGTGATGTCGCCTCTATCCAAGGACACGGCTTTCAAAAATGACAAAAAACGACTAGGGAACTTCACATGCCGTATTTCCAGCAGTCACGTTCAGCCAAAGCTGATGAGGTGGCTCCGACTGCCACTGACCTAACAACACCTTATGAGTTGCTGGAGATGTGAAATGGATTGCTAGATGTTTTTGTGAATACTTAAAAAAACATTCCTGGCAGAGCTGTTCTAGTTTATTCACAGGAATTTACAGAAGGTGGTAATGTAACATAACCCTTCAGGACGTATGTTGAAGTCTGGTGTTTGTGTCTGGGTCAACAATTTAAAGATTTTCCTTTTCTCTCCATCTTGTGTTTTGTAGGTGACCCAGCAGCAGAGGAGTGGTCTCAGTGGAGCGTGTGTTCGCTGACATGTGGGCAGGGTTGGCAGGTTCGTTCTCGTTCATGTGTATCCTCTCCATACGGGACCCTCTGCAGCGGCCCGCTGAGGGAAACCCGACTCTGCAACAACACTGCCACCTGCTCAGGTGAGCCGCAGCATCAAGCAGGTAGAGTACCTCCATTCTTTTGGATGCCCATCTACACATTCACACTCCCTCACACTGCATGAGCAGGTCAAATGTCATTAAACGTTAGTTGAATGTTTGCTTTTGCTTTGTAAGTAAACATTGCCCAGTGCATGAGAAGAAACTGCAGCTGTTAGATGCTGTGGTTAGTATTATTTATTTTGCATGGCACACGCATTTACTCCTTCCACTGCATGCTTAAAGTCCATGTGCATCACACACACTGGATTTTTGTTGAATATCTATTGTGGAACTGTGTACAATGGGCACTGTTGACACTCTTTGTGCTGCATTGATATGAATCAAGTCATTCAGTCTTTTTTTTTTTGTCCATGTACTTGAGTACATGTACACTTGAGTATCAAGGTTGTGTGATTCAGGTGAGATCAGTGCAGGTCTCACTGGTATTTCTTTTTTTGCACGTCTACACATTGGTTTTCACCAAAATGAGTATCGGCATGTTAAAAACATACTGTTGAATGGACATTTCCAGTCCTGGATGCTGATTGGTCAGTTCAGCATTCAAGAGATTCTATAATCCACATTATACAACAGGGACGTTTCACTCTTTGTATCACTCAGCTTGTATGTGTTTGTTCCAGACAGATTGTCTGTTAGTCTGTGTGTAAGTGGTGGGGGGTTTTCAGTGACTCTTCTTGCAGGTTACATCGATACGCCAGTAGGTGACGACAAGTGACTGTCCTTGTGAGTGAATCATTGAATTGTTCATTCAATCATTTCTTTTTTTTCAATAAGACTGATTCATTTAGGAACAAAAAAAAAACATCTCATGAGTAAAAGACAGATCAATGCTGTCTTTACGAGTGGGTATCTTTGGATGCTTTAATTAAATAATTATTGAAATTGTTGTACGCTGTAAGATGTGAATTTACTTTTTGTAAATTTTACTTTTACACATTTTGTGCACTGATGATAGTAAAAAAAAAAAGAAAACAGGATATCCCCCATTCTGCATTAATTAATTTGCTCAATGTACACTACTGTTCAGTTTGTTTTTTAATGTTCTATTCATCAAAAAATCATTAAAAAAGTATAATGGTTTTCACAAATATATATTAAGCAGCACAACTTTTTTTCAAAATTGATAATAATAAAAAAAGTTGAGCACCAAATCAACATATGATTCAAAGAATGATTTCTGAAGGATCATGTGACACTGAAGACTAGAGTAATGGCTGCTGAAAATTCAGCTTTTCATCACATGAATAAATACACTTTTAAAATATATTAAAATAGAAAATGGTTATTTTAGATTCCGATCATATCACACAATATTTTTGTATTTATTTATTTATGCTCAAATAAATTCAATCTTGGTGAGCACAAGAAACTTTCAAAAACATTAAATCTTACCAAACCGAAACTTTTGAAGAGTGGGGTACATGCCATAGACTTATATGTATCACAACTAATTTATATTAAATACGTGGCAAACTATTTCATACCTTATGGATTGAAACCTTTCCCAATCCACAAAGCTGTTTGGATCTGGTCATTCCTTCTTTTTATTTTGCCTCAGCATTTGTATTGTTTTGGAGATGGATGGAGATGATTAAATGCCTGGCCATAGTTATGACCCCTATCGGCCCAAATAATTTCACCAGGGGCCTTTTGAATGATGCTCCTGCTTTATCTTTAAACACTAAATAGTAGATATAAATCTTCATGCTTACAAGACATATATAGATTGCCCTTTGTTGCAGATCATCAGCTGTGTAAGTCCTTCTTTGTGTTAATTCTATATTTATGTAAAACAGGATAACTCAATTTAACTCTCACTTGTGCATTCAGCCTGAGTTCTGATATTCAGCGTCTGGGCTTTGATGAGATGGTTGCCATGTTCAGCACTGGGTGTTTTTCAGTCTCTCCAAGAGTATAGATCAGCGCTTTAGGATGTGATTTGAGGACAGCATCAGATGATCTCAATCGAACGAACAAGACTGAAGAGAATTGAAGAGAAATGAAGGATTTCTCCTGGAAATATCTGCTTGCCGAGGATTGATTCTAAACAACGATCGATGAAGGTCAGATCTGAGCGACATTACGTTTAGACATGCAAACTTTTGGAATGCAGAGATTTTCGATGCTTAGGACAGAAAAGATGATTATAGAGAACTATGTGTCAATAAAAAGTAAACAAGACGGCCAGGAATAAGAACGCAAGATGCTTGCTGTTGAGTTTTTTTTTTTTTTTTTAGTATTTTATGCTCTTTATGCTGACATCATAAACAGGCAGGCAATATTTACTAAAGGGACAGAAAAATAGGCAGAGAAAGACAATGTGAACAGGAGCAGAGCCGCAAGTGTGTGCGTGCATGTGTTCATAGATTACTTTCACTCCACATGAAGTGTTTAACGGGGATGCGCACTGGCGAAAAGGGACCGAGTGTCTTTGAGATTAGCCTGGCCTAGCGTAGCTTCAGCATAGTTTAACGCTGAATGGAAGTCCCTTGGTCCTCCTTTTGGCTTTCGTTCAAACGGAACTTAATTGATTTGCAAAAGCAATTATGGCCAGGTTTATTTAGTTTGGAGTTATTATTCAAAATTGATCAAGCACAGCCTTCAAATAAAACAGGTACTTTTAAAGTAACAGCGATTCTGGCTGCAGTCTTAAATTGCCCTCTGTTTGCTCATTAGCTTATCCCATTCTAGAGCTCAGTCTAATTTGTGGACACAAGCTATCGATAGCTGTTTCCATCAGAATTAACACTGCAAATTCTTGAATTTTGTTCTCTGTTGCTTTCTCAGGAAAAGTATGGTATGTTTTACCAGGTAGATTTGATTAGATTAAGATTAAGATTGATTTGGTTTTCATGACTATTTCTAGGTAATGTATCTTTGCATGTATCCACGCATCTCAAAAGAGGAAAATAAGGCAAACAGAGGTCAGTTGTCATACTTTTGGAGAAAAAATTAAACATTTCATGGGACAGTTGTGTATAGTGCAACATTAAACAGGCTATTTAGGATTTTTAGTAAAATTTAAACACCAAAACAATTAGGAAACAAAAAACAATTAATGAAAAAGGCAACATAATAAATATATCAAACCAATTTTTTTTTTCAAACAAATTTAAACATGTGACAACCCTGACCTGAAAAATACCCTTGTTCTAAGATCATAGTTTAATTCTCAGTAAAAATCTACTTTCACAACATAGTTGATCCTTGTTTAAATGTCTTTTATTTTGACCTTTTGTTCATTTGTTACCCAACAGCTAAAACAAAATAAATATATATGACTAATTATAATTTTACTTTGGAGGACTGAATTCACAAAACATAACTAAAATAATGAAATGTTTGATGCATACAAAACCACTGCTACAGAAAATCCTGGACTTTTGATTCAAAATTACTATTTATAGCGGTTATGACTACTAGTCCTAATCTCCACTGTAACGGACATGAAAGAATGTGATTTTCTTCTCCAAACAAAGGCAAAGATATCAGTCAAAAGGTTTCCATGGCAAGATCACAAGTTATCTGCAATGCTAAACCTTGGTCCCAATGAAACCCAAAATCTAAATTAATCTTTTCATGATAGCCTTAAGAAAGTCCTCTCAATGCATTGGAGGATGTGTTTAGCGCTGCTGCATATCATTGTGTCTGGGCAGCAGAGCAGAGCAGTGCTAGACCAAACTCCATCTGCTCAACTTTAATAAAGGAACGCTATTCAAAGCTTACGGCTCTATTGATAAATGAAATCTGATGCAATTATCTCAGACAGGTAAAATGACTCATGAGACCTAGAGTCAAATGAGAGAGCCATGTTTAAGTATACTTTTGGTGGACAGATTTATTTATTTTTAATGCTGCCTCTTTTGATTGTTGTTTTAGCTGTCAGATATTTCAGAGCCTGGTAAGGTTTTTTTTTTTTTTTTTAAGCTGTGAGTCCTTTGTGAAATTTAATGAAATACTCAAATAAAAAAATGACCACATTAATGCTGTTTGTGCAGGATTATAGATTACGTGGTTGCTTATATGGGAACACAGCTCCAGTTCAAATGCAACAATTACCTTATTTGTTCGTATATATACAGAATATACTGTATACATCTTAGGAAATGATTATGATGATTCATATTGCTTGGCCTATGCAATTAATGGGAATATTAATACATTATAATATATCATTTTAATGACATTTTGGTGTGCTCATTTTGTTTAATCTCATGTTATTGAGTCTGGGTCCTGAAGAAAAACTAAATGAAGACCACTGTATTAAATGAATCTTAGGGCAAAAGGGGCAATTACATCTGTTAACCAACAGGTGGTGCAATGCATCTGTTCTTACCCTTTAAATCTAGTGACGCATCAGACTACAGGGATTCAACGATTGCTCATTCATCACAGCTTTTTAAAGGGTAACTGCATCAGTTATAACTGCAGTCGCTGTTGCTGTTGGTCTTAACTGATATAAATAATATTTACGACATGTAAACAACACTGAACAATGCCTGCAGCCTGCAGAGCCACAGAACAGAGTTTGGTGGTGTTCTAGAAATGCTCTGAGGGGACATTGATCTATTGGTTTGGGGATTGTTGTCTGCCCCGCATGCCCGGTTCACAATCACATCTCTTTCTGTGCCTGTTTATTTATTTCTCTGTCTAGTCTGCTTCTCTACCTTTCATCATCAAACCTCATTGCTTTTTTGCTGCTTTTTTCCTGACAATGTGCTCTGGTGGTCAGTGTGTTCTCTCTCGCTTCCTTCACCATAGGAGGAATCGGCACCCCCTGCGGGGAGCGGATAGACAGGCTCTGGGTCTCTGTATGAGGCAGCACAGACAGTGATTTGCTGGATACCGCAGTACTTGTAATTTGGTCTATATAGAGGCAGTGAGCACTGCGGGCACATCAGCCCAGTATTCAACCTCTCCCCAAGGCACACAAAATCAGTGCTGTTATCCTAGCCTCACGTTTCACTCTTTACAACTCGCAATCAACAACATCGTCAGGC